AAAGCCATTTTTAGCTAAATTCTAGCTAAATTCACTCCATCAAAAGTTATTCAAGGTTAAATTTCGTTTTGACTTCAACTTTAACCTTGAATAACTTTTGATTGAGTGAATTTAGCCAAAAATTTTAAGAGACTTTTTTTGTAAAGCATTTGATTTCGCATAAGAATATTTATCGGTTTTTTTTTATGGGTACTAATTTTTACATGAATTTTAAAATTCCAAAGTTAAAAGATCAAAATGTAAAACTATACCAATTTTTAAGGCATTATTTTAAGGAAACGGTTCATCTGACGAAAAATTTCATGTAATCTTTTTTGTAGAGCATTTAATTTTCTTAAAAAATTATTTTTAAGTAAATTTTGTTAAACTCAATGGTTTGGGAGTTCTGAGACAAAAACTTGATGAGGGAAAAAAAATTAAAATTGCGATGATAGACCTCTTAATATTAACTTTCGCAATAATTTTTTTTTGTCGCCCCAAACCATATTTTCGGTATACTTTTCAAAAAAAAAAATAGTTGATTTTTTTGGCCCAGTCTAATATACAGTTGGAATGATAACAAATTCAACATTTTCATAAGTGGTGGGTCAGATAGATAGGGAGTGTGGGTAAAACTACCCTAACTTTTTTGTACGTATCTTGAGCTATTATTTGATATGAGATCATAAAATTTTAGAGTTTTACACATAAAAAAGGTCCCCTTGATGAACTTCAATAGCATGCACTGTTTTTGCTTAAAATCGATTTAAAAATTACCTTACATAGCATAAAAATTCCTAATGAAATCACAACTGGAGAAAAAGATTCAGCGTAGGCCATGGACAATTTTTAAACACCCTGTCACATAGTACATGAAACTGTCCCCTGTCTTAAATAATTTTTCATAAAAATGGCAGCTGTGTTCCATGGCCTACGCTGATTTTTTTTCTATTGTGAATTCATTATGATCATTTATGCTATGTAATGTAATTTTTAAATTGATTTTAAGCTAAAACAGTGGATAATATCAAAGTTTAACAAGAGGACCTTTTTTGTGTCTAAAACTCCGAAATTTCATAATCTGACATCAAATCCTAGCACGAGACACATACAAAAAAGTTAGGGTGGTTTTAACCCCTACTCTCAACTACCTGACCCACCCCTCATCGAAATTTTGAATTGTTATTATTACATCTTATTTGCCATAAAAAGTTTCATTAATTCCCAAAATTTTACTTTTCTATCTTGAACGGTTTTGGATATATTAAATAAAAACCATCTTCAGGGGCTCCTCTTTCAGCTCTCTTAGAAAGCATTTCTTGGCCTATGTTTATAGGAACTTTTTTTCTTATATTTGTACGTAAAATCTGCTGTTAAAGTATTGCACGATAATTATGGGATACCCTGTATAACCTAATATTTATTTTAGGTGACTCACGGTACCCACTGTTACCACTATTATGGATGCCTCAGAAAATACACTGAAAGGTCGCTCATATAAAAGCAAAAAATGTAATAGAGCGATGCTTTGGTGTTCTTAAACAAAGGTTTCGGTGCCTGACCAAACTCAGAACCTTGCATTATCATCCTGTCAAGGCAGCAGAAATAGAAGAATACTTCAAAGAATTAACTTGAAAATATAGAAGTTTTTTTGCTATCTATAACAGTGTAAAATAAATAAATAAATATAATATAGAAATCATGTATTACTTTCACTGCATTAGTGTAATTTAGATATAAACATATTTTGTTAAATTAAAATAAAAGACTAAAATAGTACCTATAACACTATATTTTAAATCCAACAACACATACAATATAACCTAGATATGTTTGCAATATTGCAATTACATTTTTTCCTATATGACTACTATAAAATTTTGCTTTTATAATTTACGAACATGGAAGATTTTTGTTAAATATATAGGTCTGGCAACCCTAAATGAGTTCCTAAATTATTATAAGAAAAACATGTTTTACAAAACAACTTAGGTTCAAAATAATAAAGCAACACGATAAGGCAAAAATATCGTAAATAAAACATTTAATTCATAAAGGTTTTTCTGTGACATTGTTATTTGCTGTATTTGTAATCAGGCATTTTGATTCTTTCTTTTAAAAGTTTTGGTGGTTTCTTCAAACACAACAATTATAAATATATATTGCATTTTAAACCCCGCATAAAATTAAGCATCAGAAATTAATAAACATAATAAACTTGTGTTTATTTTCAATTTTTATAAATCATAACCTAAAAAATGGAGCTAAAAATAAATAAAAATGTGTAAAAAAACTATATAGTTCTTAAATTAATGGTATTACCTTATCTTTATTGACATATTTATATTTAAATTTGTACTTTTAATACATAACTTGTGTTGATTAATTTTATTAGTAATAGGTATGTTTATTAAATGTCATTGTAATTATAGTCTGTATGTTGGCAGAACTGATTTATGTTGATACCAATTGCTTCGCATTATACCTAGCCATATTATAATAATAAACAATAAAAGAAAAGAAAAATAATAAATAATACTAATATTTCTTCATCTAAGGCCTTTTATCTCATTCTGTGTAGGTATACCAGAGATACGACACTGACTCAAACTTTCTTCCAAACCGTTCCAAAATACCAACCAAACTGAGCAAAAGTTACTGTATTAACGGACTTGCTAACTTGGCAAGAGATACATCAATACCCCGAAAGACTACTATGTGAATTATACCAAAGATAATTTAATCTCCTTTCCTAGAAATCTTTGTTGAAGAAATATATCTAAATAATAATAATATACATATAATATGTATATAATATTTTGATATATTTTTTTTTTTATTTGAACTACAAGGTCGGTTAAATCAGAAAAATTGCGTAATTACAAATCTATTAGGTAAATTGGCATTTAAAAACTGAACAAAAATCAGCGGATCACAAATACTTAAAACAAAAACTGACAACCTGCCAAAACAAAAAATCGTTATACTCAACTCCGTTATTCCTGTGAATTTTGAAAAAAAAAAATTTTTAATGTTAACATACACATTTACATTTTTATTCAATTAGTAATTTTTTCACCTAGGTACCTACTCGATTTTGTTTTTCATATGGCCTCCATATTGAAATTTTACATAGTTAGATAGAAAAAAAGGAACAAAAGATGATGAAGGTAAATCAAAATACCAAAAACCTTTTTTAAAATTGACAGGACTAATGAAGTTATAACAATTTTAGGTTTTGAAAGATTTTTAATTATTAAATGTAGGTATCATTTGGATTGTGTAATTTACAAATTTTATCTTTAAATTCCCATGTTTATTTGAATTTAAATAATCTCTTATAGGTACCTAACTGTTTTACTACTGTAGGTGTACTATATTTGCACCAATAAAGGCAATAAAATGCAAATTTACGTACCTACCTATGCAGCTTTATGTTTTCTTTATTAACTACTTAAATCATTATATTTTTAAAAAAATTATCAAGTTACCCACATTCTTTTTAAATCAATATTTATCAGCCACTAAACGAATCCGATCTAATTTAATATTCCCGTGTACACATTCGTGGCTAACAAACGCTTCAAGTGGAAAATAGACCGTGATTTTAATTAGGACAAATTAATTTTATTACTACAAACCGAGCAAGCTCTCGTTTAATTCTCCTCAATTGTTTTTACGAGTCAAAATTTTCATTAATGCGCTGAAATTTGACATGAACACCCAACTTGGCCGTGACCCCATAATCATTGCTATTGCCTAATGATTGCAACGTAGGTCACAAAACGCATAGTATGCTTTGATTTTGATTGTCAATAAATGTGAATTTAAATAAAATTATTACTTAAACAGTTTAAATTTTAAAACATTATGTACGTACAATATATAATATATTTATGTATATACAATTTTATGCAATTGCATTTTATCCAATGTAATTGAGAAACTTGTTAACCTTTCTATGTATATGTTTTTTAAACAACAAAACTTATATCTTATCATAAAAGTGAATACCAATTTAAAAATAAAACGTTCAAAAGTTCAACTTCGACTTAAAATAAAAGCACTAGATAAGCCAGACATTTAAATGGTCTAAAGAATCAAAAATCCTATTTAAAAATAGAAATATAATAATAAAGGTATGTAGGTAGGTACATATTTTTATTAAAATAATTGCCGATGACAACATTTGAGGGTGTGTGGAATAATAATCGCTATTTTTATAGGTAAATATAATGATTCATTGATTTATCAATGCTTTTTTGAATATTGACATGTGGGAAGATTTTTATTTTTTTGTTTTTATAGTTTATTGCCTACATATCAAGTTTTATAAACGCCATTTTAGTTCCGATTTTAATTAAGCAAAAGGGAAGCTTGCGAGCGAGTGTTTAATTAAAACTAGTGCCTAGAGAAGTTTATAAACGACTGCATACTATACTTTAACTACGACGAACACAAAACAGAATGTATGGCCAATTTGTTAAAATTTTGACATCTGTCAACTGTCACCCGAATTTAACCTCACTTTTCCCAATTTATGTTAAAGCCAACTTTAGCCCGTGACTTCAAAGCCGCTGTTTTTAACTTCAGGCAGTGACTAAAACGCCATAAAGTAACAGCTCGTCAATGTAGGAGTAAATACCTAAAATGATTATCGTATTGATCGTCAATTATGAGTTAGGTACAAATTATTAAAAAACTTGCACAATTTATTAACTCGACAATCTTTTGTTAAACAATACAAACTTAACGTAAAATAAACAAAGCAGTTAGGTTTGTTTAATATTAATAATAAGGTACAAGTTAGTTCACAACTGTTTTTATATTACACATCTAAAATTTCTTTATCCACTGTTCTAGGACCCCTTACATTTCCTATTATGATGATTCATTTGACTATTGGCTTTTATTTAATGCATTCTCAGCATGTCAATAAAAGTAACACTAAACAAATGGCATTGTAAGCTTTCCAAACGTGTTAAAAATTAAGTTTTATTCATAAATTATCCAAAACATACCTAAACTTGATGAAATAATCCAAAATATCCACCGTTTAACAAAATCCACCCACCTAACACAAAGTCTTTCACCAAACTGATTTGAATTCCGGGTTTGACAGATGGCAGCACCATGCAGGCACCATTTCTTATGCAACCCACGTTACAAGAATTGCATACTCAATAGTTAAATGTTTGGACCACAAAGTCTTCTTTGACGTTTAGTGTGGTTTTGAGTGATAAATGAATAATTTTAAAAAGTTTTACAATTCATTGAGAAATATTCTGGTAATTTGTAAAAAAAAAGCATTTTAAATGTTAAATTAATTCATTTAAACAATTTAAAATTATACACAACGTAAGTTTTCTAAGGTCAAATAAATCATTTAATTATATACCTACGATACAGAGAAAGGTTATGCGGTAAGAAAATGTTAAAAAAATTCTAGGTTTTTTATTTTAATTTTATAAATCTTTGAAAAAGTGGTGCTTTAAATAAGCACATCATTTTATGTACCTACTCAAAAACCAGTCGGACAATTTGACTAAAACTTTGTAAATGTTTTATTCTCAAGCCCTTATTATTCTACGTGCAATACGTATTATTTATCTTCGTCATTTTAACTCCTCAAGAGGCCTCTTTCATTTTACCTCGTTCTTGTGACAAGAATCTTGTCCACCTCAATTCACACAGAACATTCAGGTCATATTTTATACAACACTTTTACATGTTGGTAGGGGGGGGTCTATCAGAACCTTTTCTGTGTACAATTCTATGAAATTTCTACTTATTTGACTTGAGTCTTTCCCTCTGGATTTTAAAAAATAAATGATTTAGCCTGAAGATGGTATACCAACAATAGTAAATAAGTTACTTACTTAAGTAGAAATTGCTTTTTATTGTGGTCACTTTAATAGAAAGGTTTACTAGTCCCTGCTTAAAAATACTAATATCGGATGATTGCGGATGAAAAAACAAGCTAGTTTTCATCTGCAATTGCGGGTATAAATATTATCCGCGGTTTTGTCTATTTAGTTCTATAGAAAGCACATATGTCTGCTTTCATCCGGTTTCACCTGCGAACTAAAAAAGACGAACGAAATGCAGGCAATCGCAGATAAAAGCGGATCTAAGCAGACATTTGCAGATGAAACCAGACGAAAATAGATAAAAAAAAGGAAGGTAATCGCGGATAAAACCAGACGTAAGCAGACGTTTGCAGATGAACCCGGACAAATGCAAAAGTATACGCTTGTTGAAAAAATGTCCATACACTGGTAAAAGATACACTATAGTATCTTTTATACACCCGAAAAAATGGGTACATACCCATTTTTTCGGCCATAGGCATTTTTTTTATCAGTCTTCCTTCAGAGGTGGTAGTATAACAGTCCCAGAGACACACATGCATATTAAGAAAATTATCGTTAGTTCTTGAACCGTTCAATTGTTATTATCAAGCGAATTAATCCATATTTTTTTAACTTACCAAGGATAGTGTTTCTCATTTCAAGAAAAATAATAATGCAATTTATAAATTAAGTTTTATTGTCAATAACATAAGTAAGGACAAGAATTACCTACAAGTTTTGTATAGTTATTAATGTATGTACAATACACCTAAAATTCGCTTAACAATTATGGACACAAAAGATAAAAATAATAATAGTTTTTATAAAATCACTGCCTGGAGTAAAAATCTACAAGTAGAACCTTTTTTAAGCCTACCTTTTTAAAAAGTACGAATTAAATTAACAATTCAATTAAGCAGCCACTTCTTTCATACGATTGAGCGCGCTTCCAGCCTTGAACCAACCGATTTGCAATTCGTTCAAAGAGTGATTCAACATGATTTTTTCCGTCTTGCCGTCGGCGTGCTTGATTTCGCACTCGACTTGCTTTCCTGGGGTCAAACCGGCCAACCCTTTCAGGGAAATCTTATCGGTGGGTTGGATTTTATCGTAGTCGCCGGGGTTAGCGAAGGTGAGCGGCAACATTCCTTGTTTTTTGAGGTTAGTTTCGTGGATACGGGCAAAGGATTTCACGATGATGGCGCGTCCGCCAAGATGACGAGGTTCAAGGGCGGCATGTTCTCTGGACGAGCCTTCTCCGTAGTTTTCGTCGCCGATCGCTACCCACTTGATGCCCTTGGCTTTGTAGGCTCTGGCTACGTCTGGGACGGATCCCCATTCGCCGGACAAAAGGTTCTTGATTTTGTTCATTTCTCCGTTTTCGGCGTTGGTAGCACTGGAAAAAAGAAACAAAAGTTGTACTTGACGTTTCTTGTAATCTTTATTACAGTATATTATTATACAAGAGATAATGCAGGCTATTATTCACAAGGATGAGGTTTGCATCTCGAGCCGTCAGGCAAGTGTAATACTATTCCTTTATGCATTATTTCGAGTGTAATACTATGCTTTTTCCACTCCAATCAAGTAATTCCTATTGATAACAAAATTTATTATACCTCACTTTTTCTCGATTATAGTCGCCCCTTGTATATATAAAAAAACTGACATGTAACCTTACCTTTTTCCAATTTAAAACACGATTGGTTTAAATAATATTGAAATCAGCCAATCACTGATGCCTAACAACGTGAATAATGAGTTCATTATTCACGTTGTTAGGCCGGGCGGTTATATTGGTTACCATTATTTACGGAAAAAACCCATATAATGTCAATAATATGTAATAGTAGAAAAACAATATTATTATCATATGTATTCCAGGTTCTTATTTGGAACTAAACTCAAGATCAATTTTTAGTTTTTTTCTAAAACTTAACGAAAATAGCACCTACTTGCTATTTTTACTGTATATCATATTAATAATAAATAATAATTACTTTTATTGCTATGATATAGTTATACAAATAAATACGTATACTATAGTTTTGAAAGTCTTACTTTCTCTTAAAAACTCTGAATAAGACTTATTAAGGGTTAACTAGAGATGCGACTTGAAAAAAAAAACGGTCCGTTTTTTGTTTTTTTTTCATTGTTTTTTTTTCAAATGTTTTTTTTTTCATATTTTAGATTTTTTTCAAGATTAGTCCCATTTGCCTAATTTTTTATGTTTCCAGACTAAAATTAGCCACTAAATGACATTTAGTAAATGTAAGTACAGTCTCGCGCTATGCACGCGCCACCACCAGCCCGAACTGACCAATAAGGGCCGCGCTAGTTTTGATTTGGTTCTAAAAAAAATAACTACCTATAATATTTTTGATTCAGCGCTTGATTTTTCAAAAAGCTACCGAAAGCATTTTTTTTTCATGATTTTTCAAATTCATGTAGAGTATGGAACAAGAAGGCAGAACATTCCGTGGACCAAAAAAGAAAGGCAAAAAAATTTCGATTTTTTTTATTACGGTTTTCGTTAGGATTGAGCGTTCTAAAAATCTCAAAACTAGAAACTTCAAACTTCAAGTTGCTTTTTTTACGGCTCCAATACGACCATTTTTAAAGAAAATACAGCTATCCGAGAATTTTTTTTTATCCTTTAATTTTTTCTATTAGTGTAAAAGTTTTACATTGCTATTGGTTTCTAATGTGGAAACTACTAAAAAATAAGAAATCAGATCTTTTAGTCTCAGTCAAAATTTTTAATAATGAAAAATGTAATATATTCTACATTTTACTTCATTATTAATATATGTACATTTTACTCAAAATCTTATTTTGAAAAATTACTCCTTTTTTAAGATTTATGTTATTTATTGTCAGAATATGCTTTATTGAAGTGGATTTAAAAAAAAACAAAAAAAAACCGTTTTTTTCTAGTTATTTTTTCATGTTTTTTTTCACATATGAAAAAAAAACCGTTTTTTACATCTCTAGGGTCAACACCTTAATATAATAAACATGATGGACCATACTTCAAATAAAGTTGTTATAGTATCAAGTTATTATATCTTGGGTTGTGAATTTTATTCATATGGTCTTGCCATTACAGTGATTCGTTAAATATTAGCCCAAGGAATTTAATATTATACCAACGGTTGTTTGTCAAACAAGTCACGGACCTGTCAATATTTAAAGTTACAAAAAATATTTCTTATAGGTAATTGAGTCATAGGTATCTGAGAAGTATACTAAGGTTGTGTCGTTGGCATATAATCTAATACTTCCCTTAAGTTCTAAATTCGTTGAATGTATAGACTAAAAAAAAATGTGGGCCCTAGTATCAAGCCTTGGGGTACTCAAAACAAAAAGTTTGAACAAGAAATGATTAAACGAGATAATTTACAGAAAAAAAAATAAAACAAAATATTATAGAAAGTCTTAAATCGTTTCATAGGAATAAATCACTATAAGAATCTAATATTAATCATTATAAAAAATTCCAAAACTTTGTACTTTGTCGCATTTTTTACTCAAACAGTTTTGTTTTGGGACTTTCTGGTCTTATGTTTTTTTTAATATACAAATTCAAAAAAACTGTTTTCCCCAATATTTTTTATTTTATTATTCAATGACAATTCCTAATACTCCAAAGTATTCTAAAAAATAAGCGTTTTAGGAGGTATAATACTAACTTTTCTTCCTAAAATGACTTTATATTAAAATATCATTTTGAAAATCTAAATGTATCATGATAAGGACCAAAAAGGCATTATAAATAACTTATTTAAAATAAGATTAAAAATTCTGGATAAAAAAATGTGGAAATTATAGACAAATTCTGTAGGTAAAAGTCAAAAAAGCAATTAGCCTTAAAACGTATTTGCATTAATTAAGGAAAGATACATTTCTTTTGTGAAAATTAGATTACTTGTGGATTATCTAACTCTCACATAAAAAAATTATTATGCCCACAGAATTGTTAAAAAGGATGAAAAGAAAATATGAAGTTTTGTAAAATAAAATCAAATTATGAAAAATGAAAAATTTCATAAAACAATAAGAATTTTAATATACCTATAAGGTATTCTTTTTTAAAATTTTAGTATATTGTTACATGGTTTTTTTTTAATCAAAAAAATGTAATTATACAATGTAAAAATAAATATATCTTACCCAATGAACATGTTGTTGGAAATGTTATCCAAATGTCCTCTGTATTTCAACCATGGTCCGGCAGCGGAAATGTGATCGGTGGTACATTTTCCTTTAACTTTAATTAACACGGACATTTCTTCCAAATCTTTGCCGTTCCATTTGTCGAATGGGTCCAACAATTGCAAACGGTTGGATTTGGGGTCGACGTCGACTTTGAGGTTGCTGCCATCAGCTACTGGCTTGACGAAGGTGTCCTGACCGGGGTCAAAACCTTTGCTGGGGAGTTCATCACCAAAGGGTGCGGTGAGCTTGAATTTTTTGCCATCAGAACCTGAAAGTTAAATCGTTAAAAACATATTGTTTGTGTAGAAACCAAGGATTGTGGCATCTAAGTAAGTTTTGCCCCATTTGTAATTAGTTGCTAGCAAATAAGTCTCAATTTAAAAGGGAAACAAATTTAACTAGTGAAAAATACAGTTTGCAGTTTTTTTTGAGCCAAGATGTTTTTTTAGCGTAATTAACTTTTACAAAACTAGGTAAGTAATTTGAATTAAAAAAAAAAAAAGCTAAATGGGGGCCCGCGGTCAATTTTAAAACTATAAATATTTTCATAATATTAAAAAAAAAATCCTTTCACTGCTGAGGCAAAAAACGGTAGTAATATAACACAAAATTTTTTAAGCTAAGTTGTTTATTTTGAGTATGAGTAAGTTTTCCAAAGCTGAGCAATTTAATTTTCAAAAAAAAAAACAAGCAAAATGAGCGAACCCCAGTCAATGTCAAATATGAAAATATTTGTATTTTTAAAATTGACGGGGGTCCCCATTTAGCTTGTTTTTTTTTTTAAATCAATGTGCCAAATTATAGTTAAAAATTGTTTTTAACCGTTTTCTACCCTCGCCTGAATATTATTATTTTTATATTTAAGAGGCCTCTGGAGCAATGGAAGGAATTTAAAAAAATATTATTTTTTTTTCACCAAAATATTAATTTTTATGACACACAAGTTTTCTATAAACAGGCATTTTCAATTTTAAAAATATTCAAATTTCGCACTACCCTACTCTTTATTTTCATTATAACATAAGTATACAACTTCTACAACCCAAACTGACATGGTATTTTACATGTAGCTCCATGGAATTTTAACAATTATTGTTAAAATTAAAATTAATTAATTGTTAAAATTTATATTATATACAATCTTGTCGTTTCAAGGTTATGACAATGACAATTAGGTTCATCTTTTGCTTCACTTCTCTTCAATCAGTATTGCCAACAGCTGATTGTTTAAAATACCCAGATTGAAAGAAAAATATCCCTAGAATACCCTGGAATTAATTTTTCCAAAATTTTTTACTACAAAAATAAAAATAATACGTAGGTACTTCATAAAAAAAATATATACCCTAAAAAAAGAATACAGGTTTTTCTGTCTTACCACACCTTAAGAAAGAGTCGCAAAATGAGTTCAAACACAGAAATTCACTGCTTGGATGTTTTTTAAGCCATCCTCGAAACTCATAAACTTTTTGTTTTTTTGACATTTCATGCCGAGATTTTCGTTTATTTACCGGGGTTGAAGTAGATGACCGACAACTAATCAATTTAAAATAAGATTTAATTCATTATTATATCTAAAGACTTTAGACTAAAGTAGGTATTTACCTCTCATATGATAACTCAACATCGGAACTAGTACACCTAGTTTAACCGCAAAACAATAAAAAAATAGTTTGTATTAAAGTGAATTGCGGGAATCCCACGCTACGGTGGCGCCGCAACGTAACAGCTGTCTAGACAATATAAAACAGAAATATATAAGCATTATACTATATTGTTTTAAGCCATTAGCAATAAAGATCCTTAGTGATCTGTGTTAATAAAATAAATTATTATTTTTCCGAATTTCATCATGAAATTAACAGTTTATAAATTATACCTAGGACTTCCCTTCATCCCTAGATAAAATCTTTGTTCTCATTTTTCCCTATCAACATTTCGACCTAGTATCAAAGTAATTGTTTAAGAAATATACAAAAAACTGTAAAACTTACCGGTTAATTCATCGGTGATGGGGTTGAAGTCCAATCTACCGGCAATACTTAAAGCCGTAACCATTTCAGGAGATGTTACGAAACAGTGCGTAGCGGGGTTGGCATCGTTACGTCCGGTGAAATTACGATTGTAAGAAGTTACGATGGTATTTTTGTCGCCTTTTTGGACATCTTTACGATCCCACTGCCCAATACACGGACCGCAGGCGTTAGCCAAAACGGTACCGCCGAATTTGTCCATAATTTCCGAGATACCGTCGCGTTCGATGGTCGCTCTGATTTGTTCCGATCCGGGGGTTACGTTGAAGGGAATTTTTGATTTCAGGCCGTGCTTCATCGCTTCTTTGGCGATGCTGGCGCATCTGCCCATGTCTTCGTAGGAGCTGTTGGTGCAGGAACCGATCAACCCCACTTTGATTTCGTTGGGCCAACCGTTCTTCTTTGCGTTTTCGCCCAATTTGCTGATCGGGGAAGCCAAATCCGGGGTGAACGGTCCGTTGACGTGCGGTTCGAGAGTGTTCAGGTCGATCTCGATGATTTGGTCGTAGCTGCAACCGTCGTCGGAGTTCAGGAGAATCTTTTGGACTTTGGCGGCCTCTTGCGCGATGGCGCTTCTCTTAGTCGCGGACAGGTAGTCGCTCATACGCTTGTTGAAGGGGAATACAGAGGTGGTGGCGCCGATTTCGGCTCCCATGTTGCAAATAGTGGCCATTCCAGTGCAAGAAATAGCGTCTACACCGGGTCCGAAGTACTCTACAATAGCTCCAGTACCTCCCTTAACTGTAAGAATGTCTGCGACTTTAAGAATGATGTCTTTAGGGGAAGTCCAACCGGATAATTTTCCTGTCAATTTAACGCCAATGACTTTGGGGCATTTCAATTCCCACGGGATGTTAGCCATTACATCTACGGCATCGGCACCTCCCACTCCAATACACAAACCTCCCAAACCACCTCCATTGGGAGTGTGGGAGTCAGTACCGATCATCAAAAGACCGGGGAAAGCGTAGTTTTCCAAGATAATTTGGTGGATGATACCGGAACCTGGTTTCCAGAAACCAACCCCATATTTGTTACCGGCTGAAGCCAAAAAGTTGTAAACCTAGAGAATATTATTTAAAATTATTAATTTAATTATTTAATTATACAATATTAAACATCATGCACCAAGTATCCTTCTATGTGTAGTGAACATCTATATAGATTCTATAAGGTCGGTCATATTTAGAGATGAAAAAAACGTTTTATTTTCAGATGTGAAAAATAACATGAAAAAAAACTTTTTTGTTTTTTTTTTCAAATCAGCTGCAATAAAGCATATTCTGTCAATAAATAACATCAATCTTAAAAAATGAAGTAATTTTTCAAAATGAAATTTTGAATAAAATGTATATTAATAATAAAATGAAATGTAGAATATATTACATTTTTCATTATTGAAAATTTTGACCGAGACTAAAAAATCTGATTTCTTATTATTTGGTAGTTTCCACATAAGAAACCAATGCAATGTAAAACTTCTACACTAATAGAAAAAATTAAAGGATAAAAAAATTCCAAATTTTTTGCCATTTTTCGGATAGCTGTATCTTTGTTAAAAATGGTCGTATTGGAGCCGTAAAAAAGCAATTTGAAGCTTAAAGTTTCTAGTTTTGAGATTTTTAGATGAAAAACGTGCAACGCTTAATCCTAACGAATATCGTAATAAAAAAATTCGAAATTTTTTTGGCTTTCTTTTTTGGTCCAAGGAATGTTCTATAAAAATTTGCTATTGTTTTTTTGAAAAAAACAATTTCCATACTCTACATGAATTTGAAAAATCATGAAAAAAGTGCGTTTTAAAAAATCAAGCGCTGAATCAAAAATATTATAGGTAGTTACTTTTTTTAGGACCAAATCAAAACCAGCGCGGCCCTTATTGGTCAATTCGGTGGTGGTGGCGCGTGCAAAGCGCGAGACTGTATTTACATTTACTAAATGTCATTTAGTGGCTAATTTTAGTCCACGAACTGGACTGGAAACATAAAAAATTAGGCAAATGGGACTAATCTTGAAAAAAAACTAAAATATGAAAAAAACAATGAAAAAAAAAACCTGAAAAGAAACAAAAAAAACGGACCGTTTTTTTTCAAGTCGCATCTCTAGTCATAATAGAGAAAAGTTGCATAATTACAATCCTATTAAAATGAAATTGTAAAAAAGCCAGCGATTCTCAAAATATTTGAAAAAAAAAAATAAAAATATTTATTTATAACTTTCTTGTTTTGGGAAATTTTAATAATAAGTTAATTTTAGATCTAAACACACATTTTTATTTTCATTTCTTTGCTACTGTTAAATTTCATTTTAATACTTGTGATTACGCAACTTTTGACTAGTTTAACCGACCTTGTAGCTCTTCAAATTAAAAAATGCACGCCACTGCTTGAAATGATTTTTATAAGAAGTAAAGTTAATGATTAGGCTGCCCCTATAAGTATTTTTAAATATTGTTATTCACGATTTAAAACAAAAAATTGCATTACACCTAGTTTACAAAACTATGTTAAGTGATATGAGAATCACACACACATATAAGAGACTTTAGACTTAGAAGTCTTTCTGGACAATATAAACTTTTTTTACCTCTTTGTTAAGGTCCTTGGCCCTGCTAAGATCCTTTGCGCCTCCCACTTGGGCCTCAATAAGATGGTCACAGTGAATAGTGCTGGGTACGGCAACTTTTTTGAGGCCACTGGAAATAAATTGTAACATTGCCATTTGGGCGGTGGCATCTTGCATAGCAACGCGATCGGGTCTCAGTCTCAAGTAGGAAGTACCACGTTCGATTTCCTAAAACAAAAAATAAAATTGTCAATAATTCTTTGTAAAGTTGTACTTTTTTTATGAAAAAATGCAGGTTTATTGCTCGTTTTTAAATTTTACATTTTTTCGTACTACGCCAAACTTTAAGTATTACTATGTACTACTTAATTTATTTTAAAATTGTGGTTATTCACGGTGAACTCAGTTTAAATCTAAGTGTATAGTAAATTTAAAAGTAAACTACGTACACGTCATCAATCAGCTGATCGGGCACGGTTGTCAATGTGATGCTAAAATCCTTGCATCAAGGGAAAGTGGTAGTGCAACATAGGGCGATAGATGGCGTTTACATGAATACCAAAATGTCAAAAGTCTGAGTTTTTATAACCTATATGATGCACCGCCAAAAGTATGTTTTTAGCCATTTTTAAAGACATTTTCTGATATAAAACCCAAAAATTTTGCCATCTAAAGTCAGTCTCTGGTATATATATTATTATTTCATGTATCAACATAAATTTTGTTAAATATTCTAATATATAATTAATAATAATCCTATTTACCTCTCTAACAGCTGTTAAAGGTAACAAAGGTCCATTATTATCTCGTTCTGCCTCAAAATAGCGTATTAAGAATGACACCAACTCTTGACTCCGACTATTTAAATGCTTCGGCATTTTAAATATAGGAAACACAAAAAAACGATATATAACAAACACAAAAACGGCAATGAAAACTTAAACGATATAAAATAACACAAACAACAAACAAAATAAACGAAATAATACACGAATTAAACGAAATATTCAAAAACACAACTGAGAGCTTCGAAATTCTAAAACGTCAAATTCTTTTTTATGTGTCATTTAAATATGAAAAATTAGAATGTAAACATGACAACATCACAATTGTTGCCAACTTAATTTGGTTAAAATGCATTCAAATATTCAATTACAGACTTCGATTTAGTCATTTAGTGTTGGTACCAATGCGTAAAATTTTTGTTTTATTGATGACGTGTACGTAGTTTACTTTTAAATTTACTATACCTACCAATAAGCTAAACTCAAATTGTACAACAAACTCAATACTAAAATGTTTTTATAACTTTCAGAAAACATTGTATATTTTGAGAAAATTTATTTCCTATGGAAAAAAAGTATTTTTTACTTTCTTTATTAAACCATGCAAACTGTTTTTTAAAAATTTAAAGTTTAAATATTTAAAAGGTTTTAGAGGGATTACAACTTATCATATTTTTTGGTTCTTATTTTAAATTTTTTACAACCGTTTTTTTAGCTACTTAAATTTAATACTTTTTGATATTTTCCCACTTGAACTTGTACTTAAAAATTTATCCTTGTTCTTAAAACAGCAAGTTTTGAGATTTTTTTGAAAAATGATTTGGAAATATTGGTAAGACCAAATGGCTTAAATTCTTAAATACTTATTCTTTTCGTTTTTAAATTTTTTATTGTGATATTTTATTTTATTTTTTATTTATTTATTTATATTAACAGAATAATACATTGTTTTGACCGTTTCATTTAAGTTTCAAGATAAAATACTCCAGCGGTCAGCAACGAAAATTTAAATTTTTAGCGAATTTTGTGGCAAGTTTTTATGTTTGTTTGTAAATGCATAAAAAAGCGTTAAACCTTAAAGATTTATAATATAAGTAAAAACATACAAACAGTTTTAATAATTGTTATGGCTAAATATTTTTGTTTATTTTGGTTTAATTAAACATTGTGAAATTAAATAATGATAAAAAGAGTTATTTAAGTATATGGTACTAGTAAATATTTATTAAAAACATTGCCATGAAAGTATTTTAAAACATGTAGGTATGTAATTAGGGGCCATCCATAAATCTCGAAACGCTGAAAACGTGACGTGACAAACTCAATTGAATGAAATTGTTTAGTTGTTCCATTTTTAAAATGGAATAGGTAACTAAGAAATTCTAAAAATTAGCGAATTTTTTAAGGGGGTAGAGGAGCGATAATTCTTTACGTGATCCTTTACATTAGGTGCTTTCCTTTTGCCACGATTCTTAGATATTCTTACCTCACCTTGATTTATCTCACTTTAGAGACCGTTCCATTTGCAAAATGACAGGTAAGCCAAAGTGAGAATTTTACCTCCCCCCTTACCGATCAAGCACAACCTCCGGAGCAAACTTACAAATGAGAAATTTTGATTACTTGGTGGTGGGGATAGATGCACGCCAAAAAGTGAGGTTGTACACTTTCTATCAAACAAAACAGAAGAAAATTAAAACAATATTAGTGTTGGGCATAATCGGATTATATCAATTACCGATTATATCCGAAACGATTATTTCAATAATCGGATGATAATTCGATTAAATAATCGGCGATTATAAATCGCATACTTTCATTCGGATTTCAATATCGGAATAATTTAATCGAATTGATAATTCGAATGAAAGTATGCGATTAATAATCGCCGTTTATTTTCGAATTAAGTAATCCGCGATTATTAATCGCATATTTTCATTCGGATTTCAAATTGAATGATTCATTCGGCGACTAGAATACCTACAATTGTAGGTATGACTATTTAAATAGTAATTTACGATTACGATGATACGATACGATTAAACTAGTATTTTCAGAATCGCTGCTGAATATTACATTCACTACATTCTATAAAATTAAAGAATAAAAAAAAGGTATTTATTATTGTTTAAATTGGATTTATATTTTTAACTACCTGTATTATTTGATTCGACATTTTGTTCGTTAAGTCTTTAATCTTTGCGTTAAACCGTTGAGGGAAATGGTTAAACCACTGAATTATAGATTCCTTCCTTCCTTCCTCCCGTAGAAGATGAACATTACGTAATTGTCACCATTAACATTTCCCGTTTAGGTATTTTTAATACTTTGTGATAAAATTTTGCAATTATAGTAATAAAAAAAATCAAAGAATAAAATATTTTCTTAACAAAATCATATTTTTAAGTAATTTTAATATTTTAAATTATCAATAATTGTTAAGTTTAATTAAAATTAATAACGGGGAATGTTAATGGTGACAATTACGTCAAAAATGTTTATTTAAATCGTATTGCCAGTTATAGATTCCCGTACCGTACGGGCACGACTACGGGAGGAAGGAAGGAAGGCAATCTATAATTCAGGCTTAAGGGTTAAACTGTCAAGTGTCACTTTTAGAGAAAATAGGCTTACCAACCGTTCCTTTGGTCTATTTTAGGTAAGATGAGTGCGCGTAAGTGGCCTCGCTTATCTCACTTTTGCTTGGCTCACTTCAAAAATGAAAGGAAAGCACCTATTGTCACATTCTGTCACAAGGAAGTTGGAGGGGGTAAATTTTGACCATTTTTAAAGTCACGAGATTTGGATGACCCCTTATCGTTATTAAAGTATACAATTAAAAACTCTTACACTTAAAAATATAGGGCCTTGTTTTGTGGGTACATAAAATAATAATTTATAAACAGTTATAGGTAGACTTGTATAAATTTAACATGAACAACAAAGGTCAAAAGGTTTTTATTTATGCAGTCCTTCATAATAAGTTATCAGTGATAACCCCAAAACTGTAACAAAATGCATTTTATGCCTTACAAACATTAAAACCTATTCAATTCTATTTATTGACACATTTTTACAGGTGTATTTTTTATACCAATGTCAAATAAGACATTACCTAACCTAACTTTTTTAATGGTTATGTAACCACAATAAATTTATTTAATCTATATTAATTTATGTGTTTATTGTTTATTTATTGAAAGAAAAATTACACTGAATAAAAATTATGAGTAATGGGTTATCAAAACTTAGAAATCCAAAGGTTACTTCTTATCGAAACAAAAATATATCCGCATGTCTAGTTTTTATATTAACAAAAAAAGGAAATACCTGGGTTTCTGGCTGGTCAATGTGGGAGTAAAGTACTTTTTCCGACAAAGTAAGAGGCCTGTTTAGCCTTTTTTTGACGATTTCCAAGTTTTTGCATAATTTTTCATATGGTAGTGGGTTGGGGTCCAAATTGCTCATTGCCACCTTTGAGGAGGCTGCAGCCAAAGGTGACACGTGAAAACATCTTTGTTGGACTTCGTTCAACAGAAGGCTGCTGGCTTTGTTACCCTAAAAAGTTATTATACGTTTTTACACGGTGGTTTTTAAATTGGAAATGCAACCCTGATTATGTTTAAAAAAAATAATCAAGGCGGCTGTGTTACATAACTGTATCACAGGTTTTTTAGGATTTAACCGCAAAACTTTAAATTGTCGTGTAAATATAATTTAAACAAATAACTTAGGTTAACCCAAGCTGGTGTGTGCAAGTGGTTTTATATTTACCTGGCGATGCAAAACTCGCGTACAGTACGCCATGGTCGCAAAATTAATCCAACAGTTATAAAATTATGTTATGTTATTTTACAGAATCAACGCGAATACGCCGAAATATTATTCTCTCTGAGCTTTTCTGAACTCGTCAGTGACGTGAACCCTCTAGTATGTGCGCGCGCGCATTTAAAATTCTTTTCCAATAATAGTTGTGTAAATTACGAATTATGAAAAAATATGTAAATTTAAAACTTCTCTTATCACTTAAGTTTCGGTAAATAAGAACATTGGACCCAGCGGAATTATTTTAAAAGCAAGTGTATACACATTATTTTTTTTCTAGAATGTCGTAAGGTGTCCTTATTTAATAATATTTAATGGGCATTAGGTATGCAAAAAAGTAATAGTTATATTTAAAAAAGTACATAAATAGGCTTACAATCCACTTGGTACTATTTATACCTTGTTTTTACGATTACTTTTAAAGTGGCTTGCCAAAAATTTTTGAAAATCAGTTCAAGGTGCCCTGCGAATTAAAAAGGATTGCATTTCGGAGAAAATAAACCACCTAATTGAAGATAGTTTCAAATTAAGTTACAGAGCAAACCTATAAAACAAATAAAACTCTCGAACTCACGTACTTAATTTAAATACGACCAAATCATTTAGTTTAACTACTCATTAAAAGATGACGCCACAGTAAACAATGTTCATAGTTGCCTATAATAAATAATCTTCTCAGTTGCCTATTTTAAAGTGGTATTAAAAATACAGTGGCGTATCATTTTATTAAAAATTATTTATAATTTAAAAATTTTAATCGACAATAAAATGGTCAGCATTTAATACTTAAGTTATCTATTAATAACAGGTTATTACATACATAATTAATTATTTTCCATATAAGTTCAGAAGGATTTCTTCTTTCCGGATAAAAACAAGGCACTCCTATATTGTTTAATTTGGAGTAAAACGTAGTACCTATACATATTATTTATGTATACTATATGCCTATAGGCATATAATAGGTAAACAGGAAAATAAATTATACAAATTTAAAATGAATGTTTTATACAGGGTGCATCAAGTATATCAAGTATATGCTTCTATGTGTACTCTATGGCTATTTTTTTATTTGAAGAGCTAAAATATTGGTTTAATTAATAAAAAAAGTTGCATAATTATAATTAATAATGTATACAATTATAATAATAATGTATACAAAGAGGTTCTCAAAATATTTTAAAAACCTTTCAAATCCAAAAATCGTTATAAGTAACTTTGTTATTACTGGGTTACCATCTTTTATTTTTATAATGGCCACCATTACTTATGTACGTTACTATAGTAACGTGTATAATGTATATTAATGTATATTAATTAATTAATAATGTATACAATTATAATAATAATGTATACAAAGAGGTTCTCAAAATATTTTAAAAACCTTTCAAATCCAAAAATCGTTATAAGTAACTTTGTTATTACTGGGTTACCATCTTTTATTTTTATAATGGCCACCATTACTTATGTACGTTACTATAGTAACGTGTATAATGTATATTAATGTATATTAATTTAGTAGTAGTATACTACTACTAAATTAATATACATCGTTGGATTCCTTGATTTTTCTCTATCTAACCATGTAAAATTCCAATATGGCTGCAAAAGGAAAAACAAAAGATAGTGGTGGTATAAAAAAAATCACTAATTGGATGAAAATGTGGAAATGTAACACTTATTTTTTTTTCAAAATTCCTAGGAATAAATTGGATGAAAATGTGGAAATGTAACACTTATTTTTTTTTCAAAATTCCTAGGAATAAAAATTTTTGGTTTTGACATGTTTTCAGTTTTTTTTAATTATTTGAGAAATGCAGATTTTTTTTCAATTTTTAAATGCCATTTTAATAGACTTGTACGTAATTACGCAACATTTGTCTAATTTAACCGAACTTGTTGCTCTAGAGCTTTAAATAAAAAACATACCCATATGTATGCATACCATGATACCTTACTTGGTGTACCCTGTAGATGTGATTTTATTTAAATAAATTTATTACTAATTAAAGTTGTTTTTGTTTTTATAATTAAAATAATTTTTATATAAACAGGCATATTCAATAAACCAGATAATATAATATATACGGTATATAATATACCCCCAACAGCCCTAAATATTACTGCAACTTTGCAGCAATATATTGCTACATCGCAGTTGCCGGTTAATATTGCAGCAACCGTTGCTGAGCAACGTTGATACAGTATAACTGAAATCTTAAGTTGCCATACAATAAGCGACGGGCCAGATTAAGGCGAAAGGGGCTCTGGGGAAAATGTAATGTTTTGAATTAATTATTAATTAAAATTATTTTAACAATAATAATAATAAAGTTAGTTTATTATTAATAAATTTTTATATTTTAAATCATTAAAAACTTTCGATAAAAAAATTGTATTAAACAAATAGTGGACGCGTAATCAGAATGTTGAAAAGTTGAAAAACTGAACCGAACTGTCAACAGTTTAAGTAAAAAACCGCACATTTGAGGTTTAACAGATATCTACTGATTAAAATAAATAGATTTATTTTCAATAATATACATTTTTACCTTTGAAAGGTTATGTTATCTCTGCAAAGTTATTCCAGGCTCTCGTCAATATAACATACAGGATGGGCCAATGGAAAGTTTACACCCAGGTTTTCTCAAACAAAAAATACTCGCACACGTCGATCTTTGATTTAAGAGAGGGCAATATATTTTTTTATTTTCAACCCCTTAACTTAAACCCCTAAGCGGGGGTGATAGTTATCCCCAACATTTATAATGAAAGGGGGGTCGAGTGATTCCTCATTTTAAAGCTAGTCGATGCTATCAGTGGCTGATTCTCAGGGGAGGCAAGTGAGGCTCAGCCTCCTCAAAAATTTGAACCATTTTATCATTATTTTATTTAAATATGTACCCATTATATTTTAACTAAATATATATTTATTGTCTGGGGGGTATGAAATGCTCCCACGTGTAAGGGTGTTGACCTTGAGAAATTTATCTGTCAGATGATCATGATCAAGTGATTAATTTCCTAAACAAAGTAAAGTAACCTTTGAGCGCGTATTGATTTAAATTCCAATTAGATTTTTAATCACTTGAAGTCAAAATTTTGTTCCAATCAAGTACCATGTCCGGACAACTTGGGGAACCGCCGCAAAGAAAAATGCAGACTCCAAATAACATTTTCTTACTACCTCGACTGAAAATACGTTGTTTCGTCCCCGATTCCACGGCAGAAAGTTTACGTTTGATGCATTGGTCAAATTTACGTTTAATGCATTGGAATCGGGGACGAAACAACGTATTTTCGAGTATATTACACTACAAGGGCTACGAGGGCTTCGCTCGTGCCGCAAATGTCGGGGCAGGCATCAATATGTTCTGATATGTGTATACACATTTAATTTTTTCCCGTATTGGGTTGGGTTGGGTTGTATTTTCGGCCGAGGTAGTAAGAAAAATAGTATACACTACACGGGCAGAAAGTGTGAGAGCCCTGCACTGCGCGCAGTGCAGGAATCTCACACTTTCTGCCCTTGTAGTGTAATATACTATTTTTGACTAATTGTAAATGTTTCTTTTAAAATTTTAACCGTAACTGTATTAGGAAAGTATTGCCCAAAATATTGTCTCTTTTAAGAATATAACATTGATTTTAAAAAATGGATAAAAATAAGTTACAATAAAACTTATCACGCTTTTTCTCTTTTCCCCCTAAAAAAAATCTCCGGGCGAGCAGTCCGGCAAAGATGGTAACCCTAGGCTTAACTTAATTAGGCAATTAGACGTTCAAAGCAGTTTTATAAGGGTGTGTCTTTTTGTTAATTAACATTTTGTAGTGCTTTGTTAAAGACATAATAAATTTATTAGCCTCCTTACTTCGACTAACCACGACTTTTTTCGAGATCATTAATTTGGCAAAATTTTATTTAAAAAAAAACATAAAGCGTACGAAAAATTATAATATTAATTATTAAGTAGAAAGTGAAATTTTTACAGTCCTAAGAGGTAAAAATTGCACTTTTCAGCTGAATGTCATACAACATTAAATGTAATTTTTTTATCTTTAAGACAGAATTTTATTAAAAAAAAAAGTAAAAACGTACGAACAATTATAATAATAATTATTAAAAGTAGAAAGTGAAATTCGGTTGATCTGGAAATTATGGAGACTTTAGAGAATGTGGCAATAATAAAGTTCAAATTAAAGACTGCTTGAAAATAATAGAATATATTATATTAAGTTTGATAAACACCATTTTAGTCACGAATTTAATTTAGGCAGGAGCAAATGCTTAATTAAATTAGTATCTAGAAAAGTTTATAAACGAGTTGCATACTATACTTTTTCTACGACAAATACTTATTATTATCTATAAAACAATAGAGTAACTAACTTGGGAATCTGTATTTCCGGCGCGCCGGTGAAAATGTCAAAATTTTATGTTTAAATCAAAATGTATCTCTTGAAAATAGACCGTTTAATCCGACATAGAAGCAGTTTTTTAAAGTGAAAGTAAAGAAAATGTCTTATGGACACTCCACCCGAAATTAAGTTAAATCTAGTTTACTGCCTAAAAGGTCAGTACAATGTCCATATAAAGTTTTCAAATATTGACGTTGAAAAACTATTTAATAGTTTTCTATTCCTGTATTGAGATAATAAAATAATTTTCACATTTAGTATTATTTTACAAGAAGGGCACTTTATTTTAACGATTGTATGACATTTGACAACTGTCAACTAACTTAAAACTAACTTCAGCCTGTGACTAAAAACCTGTTGGCAACTTCAGCCCGTGACTAAAAAGCCATAAGCCACAACTTGTCAATGTGTATTTAAAAGGTCACTTAATGTAATGGAAAAATTTACGATGTTTTAAAGGTGGGAAGAGAAAAAATATTTTTTATTCTTCTGGGCTTATTTCAAAAAGGGGCAAATATTAAACTGATTTCTTAAATAAAAGGATATTTTGCAATTATAATTTCAATTTAATTAACAACTAATGAATAGATGAAATAAAATCGATTTTATTCTGATCATGACCTGCCAAACAAAACTGAATAATTAAATTATATAAACAACACACCCTTATAATTCAGTGTTCATTGTACAACGTAATTTTGCAAATTCGGCAAGTTACTGGTTACTACATCACTTTCCTTTTATATTTTTTCATTCGTTTCGGC